TGCCATCCCTGTGGGGACAGGCTGTCATGGCATGTGGGGACACCTGCCCCCAATGTCACCACCATGTCCCTGCTGTCCCCAATTCCCACCGGTTCCTTTCAGTGCCCCCCAGATCCCCATCATCCCGAACAAGCACCCCTGTACCACCCCAGGAGTTCTTGTCACCCCCAGTGACTCGATGTCCCCAAACTCCCCGTCACCCCCCCTTGCCCTGTTCCTCCACACTCCCCTCTCTCACCCCAGATTCTCCATCACCCCTCAGCACCCTGTGCCGCCCAGTCTGCTCATCACTCCCAGTCCTCCATCCCCCAAATCTCCACCTCTCACCCCAGGTCCCTCATCCCCCCCAATCTCCCATCCCACCAGAGATCCACCATCACCCTACTGTACCCCCAGTCTCCCCAACCCCACCACCCCCTGTCACCCCCCAATGACCCATATCCCCTCCGGGCAGTCCCAGGCATCCCCTCAGGTGCTCCATTTGTTATTGTAGGGTCTCCCTTGTCCAGGGAGCCGGGGCGATGCAGATGCCCACTCACGGCACTCCTGGAGGCGGTGGCGGCAAAGCCGGGCGCTGAGCGGGGCACAGTGGTGCTGGGCCCCCTCGGGTGGGCACAGGCGCTGGTAGGAGGCGCAGGCCTGGCTCAGCGCCCAGTTGCGCTGGGACAGCTCGGGCAGTGCCTGGGCATCCAGCAGGTCCTGGCAGCTGGGGGGCATGGTGGGGGGCACGGCCGGCGCTGCAAGGACAGGAGAGCTGTGGGCATCCCCATGTTCTGCCTGCCTCCTGCCCACCTCCGCCCGGGCCACCCCAAGCTCCGCTTTGGGGCGGGTGGGAAGGGGCCATGATGGGGCTGTGGTGTTGGCATGGTTTGGTAGGGTCCTCTGGGTGCTGGGATAAGTTTTTGCGGGGATCTCTGGAAAGGAGACAAGGGATCGGACAATGTTTTGGGTAGGGCTCCAGCTGATGTTTGGGTAGGATCTAGAGAGAATGGGGAGCTGCTTGGGTAGGGTCTCTTGGTGGTGGTTTGGTAGGGTCTCTAGCAGTTAGGGATGTTTTGGGAGTCTGGGCGCTGTTTTCATAAAATCTATAGGGTAAAGCCTATAGGGGAGGGGGTACTGCTTGGGTAGGGTCTTGGGGTGTCATTTGAGTAGGGCTTTTAGGGGATAGGGTGGTGCTTTGGTATACGCACCCCAAGCAGTATTTGGGTAGGGTTTCCAGGCATGGGTCCGTGTTTGGGTAGGGTCTCCTGGGCATAGGGTGGTATTTGGATAGGGACCCCGGGCAGCATTTGGATAGGGACCCTGGGCAGTGTTTGGGTGGGGACCCTGGGCTCTATTTGGGTAGGGTCTCCTGGGGATGGGGCCATGGGAGCCAGGGGACCGTGACTCACGTGGGCAGTGGCGGGGGGGGGTGGGGGGGGGGGGGGGGAGGGCGAGGGGGGAGG